AGCAGGGTGGCTGCCACTGACCACTGCTCCTAGCAGGGTGGCTGCCACTGACCACTGCCCCCAGCAGGGTGGCTGCCACTGACCACTGCTCCTAGCAGGGTGGCTGCCACTGACCACTGCTCCTAGCAGGGTGGCTGCCACTGACCACTACCCTTTGTTTCTCAGAGAAGCTTGTTGAGCTTCATGTTGGGAGAGTAAAGAAAGCTTGATTTAGGGACCCTTCTGTCCTCCTCAGTCCTGGTGGGGCCCCAAGGTAGGGGCTATAGATGGGTCAGGACCATGGTGGCCATCAGCCTTGCTGTGCTGCTGGAGAGGAAGGCTTGCAGAGTAGTCCTCCTGTTTTGTTCTTTAATTTCTGAGAGATGGGATCTGGTTTGGTTGTCAGGGTTGTTTACACTGGTTGCTTTCACTGTTGACTTCTGAAAACCAGGACTTGCCGGTGACTGGCTGGGTCTCCTCAGTTCTTAGTGCAGGTGCACACAGTGACTTTCTGGACTGCGGCTCTGGGGGCGCGGCTTAGGCCTGCTCAGTCCAGGGGAGCTGTCGGTGCCTTGGGCTGCTCCCTGGTGGATGCCCACCAACACTCACTTGTCTAGTTGGCAGGAATACTACGGTGCTGGGCCTGCAGGTGGCTGTGGCTTCAGCTCTGGGGTCTCCCTGCCTCTCTGGGAAGCCTTGTTTTCCCCGCTGGACATGGGGCCAGTCTCACTTAACCTGTTTGCGGCACAGGATGCATTTATCTCATGTTTTGGATTCTTGTAGCCTCAGCTTGTTCTGGGTGGTGCTGCCCAGACAGCTTCACTCGGGACGGCGACAGCTGTTCAGACCGGGACACCTCAGCGAACGGTCCCAGGGGCGACCGCCACCTCCACAGCTGCCACGGTAAGAAGTGCTTCCCCTCCCAGGACCATCAGACGCGGCTGAGCCAGTGCTCGATGGTTGGAAAATGAACCCTGAGATCACCCGCCCATGTCGACTTCTGCCCCACAACCATTTTGTGCATGGTTTGGGACCCGTGTGAATGCACAGGGGGCCCCAGGGGCAGTGGCCTTTAAGGGGCAGCAGGAAAGGCTCATCTTCTTGCTCAAGGGCTTCAAACCATGCAGAAATCTCAAATGGCAAAAGCCCAAAATTACTGATTTGAAAAAGTCACATGGGGCTTGGCGCCCATAGCTCACTCAGTGAATAGGGCACCGGCCACATACACTGAAGCTGGCAGGTTTGAGCCCAGCCCAGGACTGCTAAACAACAACGACAGCTGCACCCCCCCCCCCAAAAAAAAATAGCTAGGCGCCTGTAGTGCCAGCTACTTGGGAGGCTGGGGCAAGAGAATCTCTTGAGCGCAAGAATTTGAGGTTGCTGTGAGCTATGACACCATGGTACTCTACCAAGGGTGATAAAGTGAGACTCTTGTCTCAAAAAAAAAAAAGAAAAAGAAAAGTCATATAGACTATACATTTGTAATCTAAAACATTGCTACCATCCTTTTGTGTAGATGTTCCCAGTAGTTTTCCTGTATATCCAGAGGGTGCCAAAAAAATACATACCCATTTTAAGCAAGGAAAAAACTGTATTAAATTTATAATTTGTGAGAGGTGTTCAACATGACTTGTATTCATCTTTTGTTATTGACAGATGTTACTACCATTTTAATACAGTTTTTTCCTTTTTTAAAATCTGTATACAGTTTTGGGGCACAATCTGTATAAAATCTTAAAACCAAATGGGGGACTCATACTTTATAACTTTTCATGTTTCTTTGCAAAGTATATTTTACCACTTTTGGTGGCTGCGTCCTAATGTGACTGCTTTGATGTGCATTCAGGTGGCACTGGTTTGTCTTTATGACCAGCAGGGTTGTGATGACTGTCTCCGTAGAGGCGTTGTTTCCTAGGCTTGCTGGGTGCGGGGAGAGGCAGCTCTGGCTGGTGTGGCCAGGTGCTGGACACAGCCCCAGCCCATCTGCACACCCCTCAGCGAGCCACCATAGTTGGTGCATTTTCTTACAGTTTAGGGAAGAAATATCTGTATTTTTTATACATATGCGTGTTTTAGTTAAACCAAAGACTGTGATGAAAATCTGTCTTTTAAAACTTTTATCATTTTTATCTTATTACTTACTTTTTACTAGGAAACTATGGAAAATGTGAAGAAATGTAAAAATTTTCTATCTACATTAATAAAACTGGCTTCATCTGGTAAACAGTCTACGGAGACGGCAGCCAACGTGAAAGAGCTAGTACAGAATTTACTGGTAAGAGAACTTGAATGTGAAATCCCTTTGCCTTAATTAAGTATGTTGCGTGTCATAGACAACTGTGGCTGCCGGCCGGTATCAGTAGCCCAGAGCACCTGTGGACAGTCACAGGTGGCAGGAAGCTGTGCACATCTGTTAGGAGTGTATGCCCCCCGGGAGACCCTGCTTCCTGGGTTATAGGGACTTGGCCACGTGGCCACTCCCTGAGCCCTGCTTTGTGCAGGGCCAGCGTTAGGCCATTTCCTGAGCTTTGGTGTTTTCTGAGGTGTTCGTGCTTCTTGGAGTGGTCAGGAGGGAAGTGCCTGCCTGTTGGCTGAAAGGGAGTTTATGGAGTCGCTTTTCAGTAGCAGTTATTGTTGCATGAAGATTTCCTGTTGGGTGTCCTGGGAACAATTTTAAATACATCCAGTAGATGATGTTTTTAGGGCGTTTGCTTTTTCTTCTCCTTGCTCCCCCAATTTTTTTTTTTTTTTGGCAGTTTTGGCCGGGGCCAGGCTTAAACCTGGCACCCCTGGTGTATGGGGCTGGTGCCCTACTCCTTGAGCCATAGGCGCCAACTTTTTTATTTATTTATTTATTTTTTTAGAGACAGAGTCTCACTTTATCGCCTTTGGTAGAGTGCCGTGGTGTCACACAGCTCCCAGCAACCTCCAGCTCCTGGGCTTAGGCGATTCTTTTGCCTCAGCCTCCCGAGTAGCTGGGACTATAGGTGCCTGCCACAATGCCCGGCTATTTTTTGGTTGCAATTTGGCCGGGGCCAGGTTTGTACCTGCCACCCTCCATATGTGGGGCTGGCGCTCCACTCACTGAGCCATAGGTGCCGCCTCTGTTCTGTTTGTTTTTAAATGGAAAGGCTTCAACATATATGGAAGTAGCCAGAGCAGCGTGATGACCTGTACCCCGCCCCACCTCGTGTCCGTCTGACGTGTGAGCAGTCCTGGGCCTTACCTGGTCTGCTGTCACACCCCACCCCACACTCCTTCAGCACGTTAGCGTGGCTCTCTGCAAAGTGTGGGTACTTTTTACACGCACAACTGTGGCACTGGGCCCACACCTGACAACGCTAAGGCTGCCTTCATAGCCATCGAGTCCAGCCAGTGCTCACACTCCAGCTTTCTAAGGAGTTCTGTATTTGAATAGCCTGTTCAAATCACGATCCACGTTTTATTGTCGCCTTGTCTCTGTCTTTTAATCTAAGGGCTCCTGGCTCCTTCTGCTCTTTTCTCTCTCCCTCTGGCTTCTTTGTTGAGGACCCTGAGTGCTGACCCCTGGGAGTTGTGATGACCCCGTGTGTTCTTTCTGCTGGTGGAGGGTGTTGGCCCAGCCCAGGAGCCAGGGTGGGCTCCTGTACACGCTTCGTGGGGCCAGAGTCACAGTGGGTGTGCCGGGCAGGGCTGTGCTGACTGGCACTGCTCTTATCCCGCGTACTGCACGGTACCTGCTCTGTGGCTCTCCTCCACTTGCTGTGTTCCTGTCAGCATCCCTGGGAGCCCCCTTCCTTTCCTGAGTGAACTCTTTCCCTTGAACCCTGCTGGCCATTCCTGCCGCCCTCAGCCTCTGTTAGGGTTGGGTATGGCTGCAGCAACAGGTGACCTTGGCCAAGAGTGGCTCTGCCTCTTGTAGGATTCCCAGGTGTCAGCGTCCCTGCTGGGATGGGTGCTCTATGCCCTGAGCCCCCAAGAGCTTGGCTCTGTCCCCTGCCGTGGTGTAGGCCACCGTGATATATTGGTGCTGCAGACGCAGCTTCCCCTGCCCCATCTCAGTGAAGGACACTCTGTCCCTGGGCCAGGAGCCCTAGGCCCCACAACTGTGCCCACATCTGTTTGCTCTGCGTCAGCCCTGCTGCCCTTTGATAGCTTGGGTTTGCAGGCCCTCAGTTGGGTTGCCCAGTGGTCTGAAGCAGCCCAAGCAGCTTACGTCCCCTCTCAGCGTCCAGGCTGTCCCCATCTAGCTAGCTCCTGTGCAGGCTGTGTGTTTCTCTCACACGGAGGTGCCTCAGTTTCTGCCTCAGACTGTGACCCTCGCTCTGGGCTCGCATTTGCATGTGTACAACTTTCAGCCCCTCTGCTAGCCTGTAGGTGTGGTGGGATGCCATCTTCTCCTGGATAGCCCCTGACTCCCTGACCAGGCAGGTGCCCGTCTGCGTTGGCCCCTGTGTTGGCAGTGCTGATGGTGGTGGTGGGGTCACCTTTGAGCTGGTTACCTCCAAGCACTGTGCCTGTCCTGGGCAGGTGTGTAGTTGGCATTCAGGGAGAGCTGGCATGAGTGGGACCCTCAGGATGGGACGAGGAGTAGAAGCAACCCTCCCAGGTGGACACATAGTGGGCAGCTTGCTGCTCAGGATGTCCAATGTGAATGCCCACCACGTGTGTACCGAGGAGCCTGCATCTGCTGAAGCACACAGGATGCCAGCTTTCCTGTCTTCTCTGGGAGACGCTGGGCAGAGCTATCTGTGAGATGAGAGTCCGTGTGACGCCAGGTGGCAGGGTGTGTGAAGCCTCGCTTGCTGTGGGGCCTCAGTTCGGCTCTTGTTTTTAAGGATGGGAAGATGGAAGCGGAGGACTTCACCAGCAGGTTATACCGAGAACTTAATTCCTCGCCTCAGCCTTACCTCGTGCCTTTCCTGAAGGTAACTTGAAGGTCCTGGTATCTGTGCTGGCCGCTTGGCATTGTGAGTCAGAGTGGGGTGGAACAGGGCTGGTGTCGGCTCTGCTTATAGAGGGAGCCCCTAACTGGTGAGGTGCTGCCCGTGTGCCCTGGGAGGGTGCAGGTGGCACTTATGGAGTCGTCCAGGACTGGTTCCTGCAGCACTGGGTGATCTCCCTTGGTGGTCGTTGGTATCAGCACTTTTTTTTTTTTTTGAGACAGAGTCTCACTATGTTGCCCTTGGTAGAGTGCTGTGCATCCCAGCTCATAGCAACCTCCACTCTTGGGCTTCAGCAATTCTCTTGCTTACACCTCCCAAGTAGCTGGCACTACAGGTGCCTGCCACAATGCCCGGCTATTTTTGTTGCAGTTGTCATTGTTGTTTAGCTGGCCTGGGCTAGGTTCAAACCCACCACCCTCGGTATATGTGGCTAGCGCCATAACCACTGTGCTACAGGCGCCGAGCCAGTATCAGCCCATTTTAAAAAGTATATTAAATATGTGGTTTTCTTTGTATTTTAAAACAAATTTTGGGTAATTTCTTAATAGAGAATAATCCTGCTTGGTGGGATGGAATTAGGGGTGAGAGATGTTGATGTCCAGAGGAGGTTTTGAGAGAGGTGGAATGTATTAGGGAAGTGAGTGTCCTGACTCCGGTCTGTCTCCACCCAGAGGAGCTTACCCGCCTTGAGACAGCTGACCCCCGACTCCGCGGCCTTCATCCAGCAGAGCCAGCAGCAGCCGCCCCCTGCCTCGCAGGCCACCACCGCACTCACAGCCGTGGTGCTGAGCGGCTCAGTCCAGCGCACGGCCGGGAAGACGGCGGCCACCGTGACCAGCGCCCTCCAGCCCCCTGTGCTCAGCCTCACGCAGCCCACGCAGGTGGGCGTCGGCAAACAGGGACAGCCCACACCGCTGGTACGGCTTGCCCAACCCTCCACAGCCCACCTGCCACACCAGCACGCCTGCCTAGAGCCTGTAGGAAGGCTCTTGCTAGAAGGGACCTTGCGTGCCACTTTAACAGTCAAGATCTGGAGGTTGAGGCCCTGTGACTTTGTGCTTTGTTTCTCAGTGAAGTGAAATGCGCATTTTGCTGGCCTCCAACCCTCTGTCCCTTACTGGTATTGCTTGGGGGTCTCATTGGACGTGTCCAGGTGGCCGTTCTCCTGGGCAGGTACCTGTGCCTGGTATCAGAGGTTAGGCTTCATCTTGGGGCCTCTGGGTTCTCATGGCCCGTGTGGCTCTGGGGGCGCCCAGGAGCTACAGCACAGTTGGGACTGGGCCCTCAGCTGCAGTCTGGGTCTTGTCGCCGGCTCTGCTGGGGAGAGGTGTGTTCTGAATGTGCCCCCTCCTGGAGGTGTGGTGGGTTCACCAGACATAGAAGGGAATTTTTTTTAAATATCAAAGGCGTTTTGTTGTTCTAAAGACAAATTAAATAAAATAAGATGGTGCAGACTCCCTATCTTAGCAGTAGGTTGGATAATTTTGTTTTATGGTGACAAAGAACAACCGGGCCATGGTTGGGATCCACGGGGCTGTTCCTGTGCGAGCTCAGCTAAAGTGTCATTCGCTTCTGCTTTGATTAGTTAGGAGGAGAGAGGGTGAAATGGCTGTAGGGAGGCGTGGGCAGCAGGAGGGCCGAGGCCCACGTGGACAGGGCTTCTTAGTGCTGCTTATGGCACTGGACAGGAGCACTTGTCTGGACCCTTTGCTTCGCTGTCCTGTGAGGACAGATGCCCTCCACAGTCCACAAGGCGAATGTTGTGGGAGCAGAACCTGGTGGGTCGTCATTTTCCCTGTAAGGTTTTGACCCCCGGTTCTGGTTGCATGTGGCACCGTGGGCGTCTCTGTGTGGGCACATGCTGTGTTCTTTGGGGGGCCTCTTCTGCGTCTGCCTCTGGATCCTGTTCAACTGTGCAGGCCGCAGAGTGCATCAGTCAGGTGGGGCAGGGTCTGATTTCTCACCTATGTTCTGGAGTGGGAACTGTGGCTTTCCTGGGTGGGGGCAGCCTTCTCAGGTGGCAGTAGGTGGGCCTACTGAGTGGGAATGCTTGTGGTTTGTTGTAGACAATGTTCCATCCTAGTGCACTTTGCAGCCCTCATGTGCCCTTGGTAGGGGTGTACCCTAAGGTTTGGGGCCAGGCTGTGTGACCTGGAGCTGTGCAGCTTTCTGCAGGGATCAGATGTCTCTGAGCACAGGCCACAGGCAGTGCTGCCAACTCTCGGAGCCCTGCTGTATGTGGGGGCTCATAGAGGGCAGAGAAGAACGTGGCAGTGAGGGGCCAGCCCGGTGTGAGGGGCTGAGCACAGCAGGGGAGGGGGAGCAGGCTGTGTCAGGGGCTATAGTGGGGCCCACCTTATGGAAACCTCACAAGGGGAGAATTGCTTGGCTTGTGGCCACCAAGCAGCAGCGTCACCTCTGCTGACATTTGGGGGCAGTCCATTCCACATGGGGTCACTGAGCTCAGTGGGCTAGTCCCAGCCCTCTGAGCAGCTTCTGAGTCACAGATCTGCCCAGCGTGCTGCCTGCCTGCCCTGCCCTGCCTTGGTCTATGGGTGGGGCCTCTTGCAGAGTGTGGTGCTGGGGCTTTTGGGGCCTCTCAAAGCTGCTCACTGGGGGCGGGAGGTGGGTATGAACTGGTAGGGTGAGCCTGCTGTTGGGGGAGGGACTCAGGCTTGGGGACTGTGCTGGCCTGTGCTCACTGCTCTCTGCCGGCCCTACCCCAGGTGATCCAGCAGTCTCCGAAGCCAGGAGCCCTGATCCGGCCCCCGCAGGTGGCATTGACGCAGACGCCCATGGTGGCCCTGCGGCAGCCGCACAGCCGCATCATGCTGACCGCACCCCAGCAGATCCAGCTGAACCAGCTGCAGCCAGGTGGGCTGATGGGGCGGCACTGGGGTTTCAGTTTGTTTCAGTTTGATTCAATAGCATTAATTACATTTACAAAATTCTGCAATCATCACCACTATTGATTGGTGTGATTTTTAAAAGTAAATACGTATTTGCTACTGTTCATCAGTAATCATCCTTGCACTTAACAAAAGTTTGATGAAACACAGGAGAATCAGTGCTTGGGAGTTGCTGCTAAACTCTCACCTGTGACGTAGACTTAACTAATCCCACGTGTTTGAGGGCTCTGTTGTGGCCAGCTGGGAGAGTGACGGCGTCCCCCCAGCCAGTGGCGCCTGTCCAGCCTCATGTGCTGCTGTGTGCCTCTGCCCCACAGTCCCCGTGGTGAAACCTCCCGTGTTACCTGGAGCCAAAGCCCTGTCCACCGTGTCAGCACAGGCGGCCGCTGCACAGAAAAACAAGCTCAAGGAGCCTGGGGGAGGTTCGTTTCGGTAAGGAGCAAGCATGTGGGTGGAGGGGAGCCCAGGGCCCCGTGATCCACGCCTCTTTCCCACTCTGGGGCTTTCCCGTGTGGCACCAGCACCTGCTGCTGTGAGACTTTGTGCTCAGTGTGGGTCTGACTTCTGCACAAGTGCATGGAGTTAGTTCAGAGAGGTTTTGGATTGTGCAAAGGCAGGACAGTAAATCAACTGATGTTTTTACGTGAACTAAGAGAAAAGTCAGTTTTGCAATATTACAACATAGCATCTCCAGGTCATCGCAATTCAAATTAGGACGCTTTCTTGCTGTTTGACCATTTGTTCAGCTTCAAAATCTCCAGAAATGCTGAACTTTGCTTTGGTCTGGGAGTCACTGTCTTGGGGTGGCATCTCTGGGGCCTGAGTGGTGGGAGGCTACGGAGCCTCCATGCACAGCAGTCAGGTGGCCGGGTGGGTGCCTGTGTCAGGGATTTCTCTGTGGCTCTTTCCCTTCTTGGATGCTTTGCTCCCAGAGCCATCAGGCAGGGTAGGGTTGGTGACTGACCGTGGCCTAAGCCTAAATGGGGCTCTCAACAGGGGTGGACACCTGAGTGGGAGGGTCGGGCTCCTGCATGCTGCTCAGCGGGGCTGGACACCTAAGTGGAAGAGTCGGGCACCTACAGGATGCTCAGCGGGGCTGGACACCTGAGTGGGAGGGTCAGGCACCTGCATGCTGCTCAGTGGGGCTGGACACCTGAGTGGGAGGGTCGGGCACCTGCAGGAGTCTCAGCAGGGCTGGACACCTGAGTGGGAGGGTCGGGCACCTGCAGGAGTCTCAGCGGGGCTGAACACCTGAGTGGGAGGGTCGGGCACTTGCATGGTGCTCAGTGGGGCTGGACACCTGAGTGGGAGGGTCAGACACTTACATGATGCTCAGTGGGGCTGGACACCTGAGTGGGAGGGTCAGGCACCTGCATGGTGCTCACTTGGGCTAGACACCTGAGTGGGAAGGTTGATGCACCTGCGGGGGTCTTAACGGGGCTGGACACCTGAGGGTGGAGGGTCGGTGTACCTGCAGATCAAACAGCAAATTAGTGTAGGCTGTGGGAGGCCAAGGGGGTTTGTCAGGGGAGGGAATAGGGACAGAGTGGGAGGAGGGAAATTGGCCATGTATGGGGCAAAACCTGGACTTGGTGCACCAAGATGCATCTGCCTTGTCCCCTGGAGGAGCCGGGGTTAGTAAAGTCCACAGCAGTGAGCCTACCTTAGTTTGGGTCTGATCTTCTAGAAACCATTTCCCACTAGAGTGATGAGGGCTCCTCAGAGAAAAGGCCCGGTCCAGGGCCAGGGTACAGAAAATACAAGGTGAGCCGGGCACTTCTGATGACAGAGGGTGGCCTGTAATTCCAGCACTCTGGGAGGCTGAGGTGGCTGACTGGATCACTTAAGCTCAGGAGTTTGAGACCAGCCTGAGCCAGAACGAGACCTTATCTCTAAAAATAGCTAGGGGTTGTGGTAGGCTCCTATAGTCCCACCTATTCAGGAGGCTGAGACAAGAGAATCACTTGAGCCCAAGAGTTTGAGGTTGCTATGAGCTATGTGCCAGGGTACTCTACTGAGGGTGACGAAATAAGACTCTGCCTCAAAACAAACAAACAAAGAAACAAACAAAAACTCCAAAAAACTGAGGGGGGAAAGTCAGTGATGCCCTGCCTCCCACCTGAGAGCAACAGTTGTGACCATCGGGAAGCCCGTGGTTGTGTCAGTCTGTGTGTGAGCCCACGGAGGAGGACCAGGTGTGTGGACTGCTCCACCGTACTTCCGAGAGGCACTGGTGACACTAGGGAGATGCTGGGCAGGCCCCCTGCCAAGTGGAGCCACCCTTGGGGCTCAAGACTCCCGTCAGTGTTCTGGCTGGGTGGCACAGCTTGTGTCTTTTCATGGAAGAACAGCCATCAGACCATAAGGACGTTCTGCAGACAGCTGGCCTGCAACTGACCTACGACACTCCCGGTGTTAAGAGCACAAGAGAGTCAGGAGAGGCTAAGGAACCACAATGGCTGGATGCAGCAAGTGATGGGACATGAACCTGCTGGGAGAGCCACTTCAGAAACAGTCAGCCCCACCTGGGAGGCCTGAGCTGTGGCTGGTAGTCCTAGACTGCTGCCTGCAGCCTGGCTTCGATGGTGCCTCGGGTTCTGCAGGGGACACCTTGTCTGTGGGGACACACTCGGAAGTGCCCTGAGTGAGTGCTGTCAGGTTGGCAGCTTCCTCTCAAATGATTCAGGAAGAAAGTTCTTCATATTCTCCAACTCTTCTGAGGCTCTGTGATTATTTTAAGAAGATAAAATAATGCTGGCTGAGATTTTCAAGGTGTCATGAGGGCCGTGGTCCTTGAAGCAGCAGGCGGTGCTCCTGGTCTGGCCTCTGGGTGAGGCCCCACGGTGTCTGCATATTGGTGTGCTTTAACCCTGCTGCTTTCCCTAAACACAGCAGGTCAGGTTTCAGAGAAGGCAGACAGACGTCTTTGGACAGCAGGACACAGGAGATGCGGGAGCTGGAGGACAGTGCTTAAGTCGTAGGTGCTGGCTGTGATTTCCACGCGGGGTTTTGCCATCCGGTGTTGGTTGCCCACCATGTCCGGAGCCCCCCAGCCCTCCTCTTGATGAGCCACTGTGCTGTTAGAGTGACCTTTTTTTCTTTCTCAAGGGATGATGATGACATTAATGATGTTGCATCAATGGCTGGAGTGAACCTGTCAGAAGAAAGTGCAAGGATATTAGCCACAAACTCTGAACTCGTGGGCACGTTGACGCGGTCCTGTAAAGACGAGACCTTCCTCCTCCCTGCGCCTTTACAAAGACGGATATTAGAGATAGGTGAGTTCATGTTCAGTGTCCACACAAGGGCCTTGTGTGCACTGTGAGTTTAGGAAAGCCTTGCATATGGCCCTCACTGGCCACTCTGCTGGAGTCCAGGGGCCTCATGTGAGCATACTCGGTGCCTTGTTCTGTGTTGGCTCGAGGTGCTGCTGCTGGTGGCTCAGGTGGCCAATGTGTGCTGTCTCCTACTTGCCTGGGCTGCCCTAGACTCTGTAAGGTAGTAGTTTGTTGATAGGAAAAAACAGTAGTGAGGAAAGAAAAGTGTTTAAATGATTCTAAAATACTCTTTTTATTGGCTAACCTTTAGGTAAAAAACACGGCATAACGGAATTGCATCCTGATGTAGTAAGTTATGTATCACACGCCACACAACAGAGGCTACAAAATCTTGTAGAAAAAATATCGGAAACAGCTCAGCAGAAGAACTTCTCGTACAAGGTAATGGGGCGGCTCTCCCATGGAGAGTGACTTTCTTGAGCTGACGTTCAGTCAGGCTCTGTCTGAAGCTTCTTTCCCACACCAGGCGCAGGCAGTTGTCCTGAGAGCCCTCTGTCCTTTTTGAGCTTGTTCTGAATTTTTCACAGGATGAGGTTTTGGGAAGATTTTTTTTATTTTAGCCACTTGGTTTCCTGGTCCTCCGTGAACTTGGGTTGGCTCTAGCTACACGTTCTACCTTGGGTGGGGCCCAGTGCGGACACTGCGAAGGGATTTCACTTCTCCAGGGTAAACCTCATCAATTTTGAAAATTACAGAGTCTAACACTTTGATTCAGACCTATGAGTGTGCACCCCCTACGCAGGCCAGGAACTGAGCCTGCAGACCTCAGGTGGCTGCATCCCCCTGTCTCCCAGTGTAGGGGCCCAAAGGGAGACTTGTGGTCGTTGTCAGCAGTCTCAGCAGCAGCCAGGAGAAGGCCAGGCCACTTGCGGCTGTGCCTCTCCCAAACCAGGTCTTAGTACTACCATCTGAGCAGCAGTTGAAGTAAACACACTTGGCTGTGTGCTTTAAAAGTGGTCTGTGTTGCTGCAAAAAACGTTATGTTACGTTAAAAAAACCAGACAATATTAGACTGTATAAAATGGAAACTACCAAGAGCCCCCAGAGTCGCCACCCGAGGCTCTTCTCTGTGCACACGGACGACAGGACTCAGGGTGCAGGGTCCATCTGAGAGTGACAGGAGGTTAGGGCTGTTTGCTGACCTGGGGCCTGGCCTGGGAGGGCTCTGCATAGACTCTGGTTCCCCAGACGTACAGTGGACGGGATTTTACCTTTGTTGTAGGATGACGACAGATACGAGCAGTCGAGTGATGTCCGGGCTCAGCTCAAGTTTTTTGAACAGCTTGATCAGATGGAGAAGCAGAGGAAGGATGAGCAGGAACGGGAGATCCTGATGCGGGCTGCAAAGGCGAGTGCTCGGACGCCGCCCTGGGCCCTGCCCAGCCGCTCACCAGGCACTGGGCGTTCTGGGCTGGCCTGGAGGGAGAGGGGCTGTGTGCAGGGGTGAGCAGAGCGCTGAGAGGAGCCGAGCTCGTCAGTGTGCTTCAGCTGCACGCACAAAACCCTTGAGAAGTGGAGCAGCTTAAGGGTCCCCATGCCTCAGTTTAGTTGTGAGGCCTGTGTGCAGGCAGCCCCCGCGTGTGCCAGACCGTGACTCTACGCCTGCGTCACCGTGCGTTCTAGAATGTTGAGAGCCCTCGGTGGTGTGGCCAGACAGGAGACAGTAATTCCATGGAAAAGTTGCTGTGACATGGAGGGCTCACTTCTTTGGCGATGGCCAGACACTAGCCTTTCCGCACCATCTGTGAGTCTGAAGCCCTGCGAGGCCTTCCTGCCTGCCGTCGTGTGCTCAGGTCGAGCTAGAGGCCTGCCGCTGGCAGACAGGTGCCTAAGACTGTCTTACTTCTTACCATATCCAGATGGTATTGATTTTCCTAGATTTTCATCTTTGGGTTATAAACATTTATGACCTGGGTGTTGCTGTATGATAAGTAAGATAACATTTGTTGGACGATAAACAAATGACATTTAGGTCATAACTTCTATTCTGCCTCTTCCACAAACAGTCTCGATCCAGACAAGAAGATCCTGAACAGTTAAGGTTGAAACAGAAGGCAAAAGAGGTAAGGTTTTCAGAGTCTTCACCATGTATTTGAAAGTATGTTCATGTTTCACAAAAAGCCCATCAAAAGAGAGAAAGGTTAAGATGACCGTGGCAGTTCTGTGCAGTGAGCACTTGTGTAGCTGTTTAAAATGTGTGCAGAGTCTCAGTGACACTCTGTCCGGGTGCTCTCCTGTGCAGTCTGTATCCTGTTTCTAAATTGAACAGTGACCTCTCTTTGGGTGACATTAGTTTCTATACTGGTTCATATATTTTGAGCATTTTAAAATGAGCATCCCTTGATTTAGAAAAATCTTTGTTATTTTTCTGATTAGAGAACATACTTACGGTTAAAAAAGTCAAAACATTAAAGAAATTGTAATTTAGGACATTTTAGAAAACACTCTGGTATTAATTGTATAGTAAGTGAGAAGCAGCAAGAAATGACATTGCTTGTTTCCTTTACAAAATAAAGATGCAGCAGCAAGAGCTGGCGCAGATGCGACAGCGGGATGCCAACCTCACGGCGCTCGCGGCCATTGGGCCCAGGAAGAAGAGGAAAGTGGATGGTCCTGGGCCAGGCACAGGCACAGAGGTATAGCAGCAAGGTGGGGCCGAGCGGGGCCGGGGGCAGGCACAGAGGTGCAGCAGTGAGGTGGGGGTGAGTGGGGCTAGGGGCAGGCACAGAGGTGC